TTCCGACACGCCTCTGCTTTGAGTGTCAAATTTGCTGCCGTTTGGTAGCCCCGTGTTTTTTATATCCGGTTTTTTAAACAAGCCCTACATGCGCCTCACGTACCAACTTCGTCAACCACCAGCACCAAATGCCAACCACCATCGCCGCTCGTGTTCTTCCACGACATGGGACAACTACGTGCTCGGACACCGTCGTCGTCAGAATCGCACCCTAGAGCTTCTTCTTTGATGGAAGGGTTTTGATACTTCCGAGGCTGCGTCTCTGAATTCGATATAGGTAATGCCCGTCGTCTTCTTCACGACAACCTTGGCAAGCAGGGTGTTACTTCTACCACCCAGCTTTGAGGGGGGGAAGTGTGACAGTACGACCCCGTTACAGCGATTTCCCCTTTCCATATTTCCTTTCTATTTCATTCCTCCTCTCTTGATTGATTTGGTCTTTATCTCATCTCTTTTGGTTTCCTATTCCTCCTTTCCATTATCCTTTGGTTTATCCAGTTATTATAATTTTATCACCGACCAGGCTCAGGATGTACTGGCGCGCTATATCTAGCGTAATCCTGTCGTAATCCCTTAAAGCCAATAGCCTTGTGTGGCTATACACAGGGTGATTCGTTTTCTAGAAGGGTCTATTTCCTTTGGATATGATAAACCTGGTTACCTGATGTACTCTGGAAGTATATAAGCACCTTGTACTCACGGATAGTGCAACATTGAGCAAACCTCATTCGATCCTGTGACAACGTGGGAGCACCACGTCAAGATGCAAATCCTACTGCTGTTCTGCCATGTGCCGGGGAGCACCACACAAACGAGTCACTTGACAACGGCATCACGCAAACAGATACATACGTATGCTCATTGTGGGATTTGAGGGTCAGGGGTTGCACTTCGAAGGTGCAGTTTATGGTGGCTCGCGAATATGGGGTGCTACTGGGCTGTGCAATGGTCTAATAGTGAGGCTATGGAGTTGGCGGCGGTGGGATGAGACCACGCATAATTAGGACACGGGGGGGATACAACGGGACTAGCGCGAGGGTGTGCGGACAGAGCTGGGGATAGGGGAGGACCACACCTGGAAGGAATGGGGGACCCCGAGTTGAGCTGTGTAACATGCGAGGTGGGAGTGAGGGGTCGGTGAGGGCACATATTGAGGGACTGTCGGGAGGGGGTTTGCGTGGAAGGAGTGGGGTCTGAGCGGGCGGCACCAGGGGGGATCCGCTGGGTGAGCTTGTGGTTGGAGCCAGGGAGGTGCGTTGAAGGATGCATCTGACAGTTTGCCGAGAGTGGGGGGGTGGGGGGTGGGAGAACAGGGTGTGAGAGATGCCCCCCTGCCACTCCCCTTGGGATTTCCCAATGGGTGAGTGGGTGGTTTATGGGTTGAGTGTTGCATAGCTCTCCGGAATTGATGTCCGAGTGCATAGCAGTGTGGTAGCACTACAAGTAGACAGTCCTTGGACGTATATGGGAGTGGCGGGGCGGTCCATGCTCCTTTTATCGCATTGAGGTGGGTCAGGGGGGGATGCTGGGAGAGGGCACCGTCCAGGTGTCCAGCGGGCATGGTAGGGTGGGGAGTCTTTGTGCGTATGTGTGCATGTAGCTGCATAACCAGATTTTTGGGCGGGCCTTTTTACATGCCTTCCCATCCTAAGGGAGTGTCAAGCATCTAGTGTGTGCTGTATTGTGTTCACGACTCGCCCAACCTCGGTCGGGCAGCTTTGGGCACAAATCGCCCAGGCTTGAAATTCAGGAACACCACCTGACGAAACCCCCTCACAAGCCAGACACCCACCTCCCTTCCCCAGTCTCGGCAAGCCCAAGACTCTTTTCCCTCCCTCTCTGCCTCTCCACCTCCAAGCGACCAGCCTCACTCCTGCCTACAAATCTGCACCTCGCATCTCATTTCTCTCACCACACTCTGAGCTTTTGCACTAATATCTTCAGTTCATATTTCCAGCTTCCTTGTCTTAGTCGAGTTCAGAGCTCGCATTACTAGCTCACGATGGCCTCAGTCTCGAACTGCTCTTCGTTTTCCGCTGTGCATAGCTTCTAGGAGGATATCAGCAGCGAGAAACCGATGGCAGCACGCCACGGACAGCCGCTGGGAGGGTCGTCCAGCAGTAGATCGATCGAAACCTGCTCTCATGACGTCACAGCTGCGCTGCCAATGCTAATCGAGCTGCCACCTGTGACGTCCGATCACGCGAAACAAGATCAACCATCAGAGCTTGTAAGGCCAGAATCCGTGTTCTCCTGTCCAACTGCGCCAGACTGTCTGGCCTCGGTTTCGGCAATGCCGGAGTCTGAAGCTTCCAATGCTACAACTTTGGTTGCTGAAGCTTCCAATGCTAAGGCTTCCAATGCTGCAGCTTCAGTCGCTGAAGCTTCGGACGTTGGAAATTCCTACGCTGCAGCTTCGAACGCTGGAGCTTCTGATGCTACAGCTTCGAGTTCTGAAACTTTGGACTCCTACTTCTGTTTGGGAAAGGTCTCCACCAGGTCGTCGATTAGTCTGCGACATGATGTGCACAAGACGGCACACACTAGATGCTCGACACTCCCTTAGGATGGGAAGGCATGTAGAAAGGCCCCCCCAAAAATCTGGTTATGCAGCTACATGCACACATACGCACAAAGACTCCCCACCCTGCCATGCCCGCTGGACACCTGGACGGTGCCCTCTCCCAGCATCCCCCCCTGACCCACCTCAATGCGATAAAAGGAGCATGGACCGCCCCGCCACTCCCATATGTTGTGTGATGTCATCATATGCTATCACATTCTGTCTGCCTCCCATCCCATGTTTTTTCAACTTGCATGTGTGGTTTGAATGTGCAAGCATTTGTGTGTGGTGTGTTCTGGAGTTTGGGAATGTGTTTTGTGTTATTCTGTCTGAGCAGGTATTTGTGATGATAGATCTTGAGAAGATCTTTCCGACGCAACAAGAATCGCTTCAATCGGAGCAAGAACGCGAAAGCTATGAAGATTCAAAGTTCATGAGCTTGCGTTACAATTGCGGCGGTTACTAAGTGAAGTTGTGGGGTGACTTTATATGGAGTTGGGACCTTTGGGGTTGGGGAAACTTGTCACTCTACTGTAACAGCTGCAAATTGGTTGGGAACAACCAAGCTAGGTTGGCAAGGGTGGCCAACTTGGATGGATTGGTTGGGAAGGGACAAAGGTCAAAGTTGAGGTTCCTATAGGGAGGGAATCTTTGTGCTTATGGGGTTTCCTTGGTTGGGGACTCTCTTGGGACCTTCCCTCTCATCCCTCTCTTCCTATCCCAACCTTTCTCTTGCTCCTTCTAATTCCTTGTGAGATTCTTGAACTTTGATTGAACCTTTGAGATTGAGTTAAGTTCTCCTCCTACAGCTTACCCCCTAATGCGTCGAAAGCCATAGCGTCGCGAATACTTCATCAATCAACGTGATTCAAATTGGGAACGGTAGCTGAGATTAAGAGCTACAACATATCCAAGTTTCGCGACATTCCAACGGCTAGTTTTTCGTCGACGTCGTTTCTTGTAAAGACGACTTTTCTGTCCAGAATTTCGGATTTATATTTTGAGTAATTCTAGCTCCTAAGTTCACCTAGACTCCGTCCTTAATCCTAACAAGTGGTATCAGAGCAATATTAAGGACATTGAGAGGAGTCTACAGAAGTTTGAAGACCCTTCTAGACCCACCATGGCCTGTGGGTGTGCCTAAGTGGTGTTCTAAAGGTTGGATGTGTCTTCCGCTAAGGGGAAACTCTGCCGAAATTTCGTGGACGCCGACACTTGTGAAAATATCGAGGGAGCTGAGTGTGGACAGCAAAGGGGAGCTGAAATTCGTCATTTCTCAAGGAGAAGATGAATGAGAGAGGAGGAGATGCTAATGGAAGAGGAGCTGTACCTGAGAAGACAAGTGAGCCGCCGCCATCAAAAGTTGAAGCTTTGGATGGCTCCAACTATGAGGAATGGAGCGGACGGATGAGGAGTGCCTTCAAACGCTACAAGCTACTGAAGATTGCTGTTGGGGAAGAGAAGATGCCGGAAGAAGGCGAAGCACGTGAACGGTGGATTGAGAAAAGCACGGTGCTTTTCGACCTCATCCTTCAATCGGTCAACAAGGAGATGTTCGAGCACATCAAGGATCTTGTGGAAGCGGATGATTCGGGTCCAAGGGCGTGGAAACTACTACGCGATGTGATTCAGCCCAACACTCTCCTGATGGTGATCGTGCTCGAGAAGGAACTTGCTGCCATCTCCATGCGACCAGGGGACGATGTGAAGCCGGTCCTTGACAAGATCAAGGACACCTATGCAAGGATGGCAGCAGCGGGCAGCAGTGTATCTCAGCTGCAGCAGTGCACCAAGATCATCTCGGTGTTGGACAACTCTTGGGACAACCTCATCCCCACCCTCAACTCTCAGCAAGATCAATGGACACCTGAGTGGCTAAGGCAGCAGATTCTGCAGGAGGACTTCCGCAGACGCCATGTGGGAGGCGGTGCTGCCACTAAGACTGCTGAGGGGTATGGAGCTGCAGGGCGCGGCAGAGGAAGAGGGGGTTGGAGAGGCCGAGGCCGTGGGAGGAGCTTTGGCAGAGGTAGAGGCCGAGGTGACTATAATGAGGGGCATGGGAGCTCTAGTGGCAGGGGGAGTACCAGAATGGAGGGCACGTGCTGGTACTGCAAGAAGGTTGGGCATCCTTGGTTCAAGTGCTTCAGCAGGCTGGAGGGATGGGCACCTCCAGGCATGAAGCCGCCCAGTGGTGAACGCGCACAAGGTGGCGCTGTGCAAGGCTCAGGTGCACAAGGTGAAGGTGCACAAGGTAATGCCTATCCTGGTTTGTTTGTTATGGTTGAGGATGTGCATGGGCATGAGGGTGATGTGGGATCTGTGGGAAAGGTTGTGATGCACCCTCTCACGCACTGGGTGATTGATTCGGGTTGCACCAGTCACATGACTCCACGGGCAGATTTGCTTGATGAGGTAAAACCCCCTGGGAAGATTAAGTATGTGGCAGCAGCGTCAGGTGCTTTGCTCCCCGTTATTGGTGTTGGGAATGCCAAGGTTAAGGGAGCTAATGGGGAGCTTGTGGGGCTTGGGAATGTTCTGCTGGTTGAAGGCTTGTCTGCTAACCTTCTCTCTGTGCAACGACTGCAGAAGAGCAAGGCCGAAGTGACCTTTGGACCAACCAGCTGCCGTGCTAAGCCTGGGAAGAAGGTGCTGTGGAGTCTGGAAGAGGAGACCAGCTGCATCAAGGACCTGTGGCAGCTGCCCATCATCCCATGGAATGGGAAGACTCCAACAGCAGCAACGGCAGCAGTGGCAAAGGCAACAGCAGGAGGAGATGCAACTGCACCAACTGATGGGGTGCTGGAAGCAGTCAAGAAAGTGCAGAAGCAGCAGACACATGGTGAGGTGCTTGCTGGTGTGGATGCGAGTGCGGCATGGGCTAAGGCTTCATCAAGGAGTGGAGAGGCCGATTGGGAGACATGGCATGAGAGGCTGTGTCATGTGAACTTCCCTATGCTGCAGAAGTTGGTGAAGGATGGGAGCCTGAAGGGCTTGGAGGTGAAAGGGGGAGTGAAGGAGATTGGGAGCTGCCCTACATGCTTGGAGACCAAGTTCTCCAAGTTCCCCTTCAACAGCACTAGGAAGCCAGACCACTGCCTGTGACTGGATGTGTGGGGCCCACAGGCCTTCCTCTAGGCAGCCGTTTTTGCATTGTGGATGACCCTGGGCAGTGTGGGTTTACTTTGAGAGAGGGGGGGTGGCAGCGGTGTCTTAAGGAGTGGATGCCTAGAGTCAGAGGGAATGCGGATCAAGGTGAGGTGTCGCAGTGCAATGGTGGGGGTTCATTGGAGTGTTTTGGGGGGAGTTGAAGAGGGGGGACCAACATCAATGACAGTGCCCTACAACCCGCAGGAATGGGTGGTGAGAGGTTAACAGGACCCTGCAGGAGGGGGCACGCACTCTCCTTGGGCGTGCAGGGCTGCCTGATCCGTTTTGGGGTGTCTGCACTGAGGCAGGTCGCCTTGTGAAGAAAGGGTGCTGGCTACAAGTTGGAGATAAGGAGTGGATCCCATATGTCAAGTGGTATGGGAGTGCTCCAGCTGTGAACATGCTGAGGGCATTTGGGTGCATGGTGGTGTTTCATGTGCCTAAGGAGAAAAGGGGGAAGTTGGAGGCTTCTGGAAGATGGGGTGTGCACTTGGGGATTGCAAAGGATCACAAGGGGTGGCTGCTATGGGACCTGACACCCAGAAGTTGACAGTGTCAAGGGATGTGAAGTTTCTTGAGTCCTGTACTACAAGGAATGGAAGCAGCAGCAACAGAAGCTTCCATCTACACCGCTCATTGTGGAGGCAGATGAGGTGCAGCAGCCTTCAAGACAGGTGGAGGTTGCAGTGTCAGAGGAGGAGATGTCTGGGGTGACTGAGGAAGGGGGAGCAGCTGAAGTAGAGCAGCAGCAGCAGCAGCATGAGTCTCCACCTCGAGTTCCACCCCGCCTGAGCGTCCTAGGAGGGATGTGCGCCCTCCAGTGAGGCTGACCTATGGGGGAAGAGGCAAGCCAAATGTGGTGCAGGCTGGGAGTGTGGTGAGCAGATTGAGGAAGATGAGATCGCTCACTGCTACTGGGCACCAATCCCTGAGCCCAAGACTCGAGAGGAGGCCTTGAATGGACCAAATGGGGAGAAGTGGAAGGCGAGTGAGGATGAGGAGTTCGGGTCCCTGATTGAAAACGAGACATGGGACCTGTGTGACTTGCCTCCTGGAAAGAAGGCAATCACTTCCAAGATGATCTACAGGCACAAGTATGGACCTGAAGGGGAGCTGACCCGCTACAAGTCTAGGCTTGTGGCACGGGGTTTCAGCAGACAAAGGGGAAGGACTATGATGAGGTGTTTGCTCCTGTGGGGAAAGGAACAACACTGAGGGTGCTGTTAGCGATAGCTGCACTCCTGGGATGGAAGATACGGCAGATGGACATTGTGACAATGAGTCCGCTGTGAAGCTCGCCAAGAATGCTTGTCTGCATGGGCTGACAAAACACATAAGGCCTAAGTGGCATTGGTGAGGAGACTCCTTGATAAGGAGGTGCGGCTGGAGATAGTGAAGACCCATCAGCAGGCAGCAGATATTTTCACCAAGCGTCTGGCGGAGGCGGATCATTGGAAGGGCATGAAGCTTGCCTGGGATGAGTGTGCATTGAGTATGCATGCTTGAGATGTGGTATGGTGGATGATGGTTGGCAGCCAGAGGGGAGATTGTTGTGTGATGTCATCATATGCTATCACATTCTGTCTGCCTCCCATCCCATGTTTTTTCAACTTGCATGTGTGGTTTGAATGTGCAAGCATTTGTGTGTGGTGTGTTCTGGAGTTTGGGAATGTGTTTTGTGTTATTCTGTCTGAGCAGGTATTTGTGATGATAGATCTTGAGAAGATCTTTCCGACGCAACAAGAATCGCTTCAATCGGAGCAAGAACGCGAAAGCTATGAAGATTCAAAGTTCATGAGCTTGCGTTACAATTGCGGCGGTTACTAAGTGAAGTTGTGGGGTGACTTTATATGGAGTTGGGACCTTTGGGGTTGGGGAAACTTGTCACTCTACTGTAACAGCTGCAAATTGGTTGGGAACAACCAAGCTAGGTTGGCAAGGGTGGCCAACTTGGATGGATTGGTTGGGAAGGGACAAAGGTCAAAGTTGAGGTTCCTATAGGGAGGGAATCTTTGTGCTTATGGGGTTTCCTTGGTTGGGGACTCTCTTGGGACCTTCCCTCTCATCCCTCTCTTCCTATCCCAACCTTTCTCTTGCTCCTTCTAATTCCTTGTGAGATTCTTGAACTTTGATTGAACCTTTGAGATTGAGTTAAGTTCTCCTCCTACAGCTTACCCCCTAATGCGTCGAAAGCCATAGCGTCGCGAATACTTCATCAATCAACGTGATTCAAATTGGGAACGGTAGCTGAGATTAAGAGCTACAACATATCCAAGTTTCGCGACATTCCAACGGCTAGTTTTCGTCGACGTCGTTTCTTGTAAAGACGACTTTTCTGTCCAGAATTTCGGATTTATATTTTGAGTAATTCTAGCTCCTAAGTTCACCTAGACTCCGTCCTTAATCCTAACAGAAGAGCGGTCCGACAGCGTCGAAGTCGGTGCGTTCGAACATCGCCTCAAGCTCTAGCCAGATCTGGCGGGAGCCGATGCGACGTGCCTGGAAGTTGCGCATGAGCGCAGGCGGGATGGCAAGGAGAAGGGCACCAGTAGCACGGCTGTCCGCCTCGAGCCAAGCGCGATGACGCTCGGCAAATCGCGCAGAGTCAGCAGCATAAGCGGCGGCAGTAGCGGCATGCTGGTTGCGGAGGGTGACCGACTGCTCGTGTTCCTCCAAAGCGATCAGGTAATCAGTATGGAGCACGAGGAACTGCTCAACCTCAGCGGTGGCAGTGCGAGTGCTGGTGCCAACGGGTACCACGGGGGGCAGAGGTTCCTCGCCGGGATGGGGAATGAGAGGGGGGGGATCGCCAGGGTGAGGCGGCGGGTCCCCAAGGTCACCCTCTGGGAGACCAAGCATGATGTCCAGGAGGCGGAACGGCAGGACATATGCACTGCCGAGGACGCGGTGGAGGCTGCCGATGAAGGAATACCAGTTGGTTGCTGATTGTCGGCAGCGTGCACCAAATGATCGAGGGTCGAGACGTCGACAAGAGGGGGAAAGGATGCCATTGGTGACACGGAGTAGGAGGAAGGCGACGGCGGGTGGACCCGCGGTGGCCGGAGGGAGCGGCGGCGGGTGGACCCGCGGCGGCTCAAAGAGGAGGGGAGGATGGGGATGGCTGTAGCTACTGCTGCTGCTCACTGCTGCTGCCGCTGCCGCTGCTGCTGCTGCGCTGCCGCTGCTGCTGCCGCTGCTGCTGCGCTGCTGCTGCTGCTGCTGCTGCTGCTGCTGCTGCTCCTTCTTCTGCTGCTGGTGCTGCTGCTGCTCCTTCTTCTGCTGCTGCTGCTTCTGCTGCTGCTGCTGCTGCGCTGCTTTCGCTGCTGCGCTGCGCTGTTGCTCCTTCTGGTGCTGCTGCTGCTAGTTGATGGCAGTTAGCTGATGGGGAGAGATGGCAGCTAGCTGATGAAAGTAGGACTTGGTGGAAATTTCAGTAGCACTTCGTGATCACATCCAGGAAAGTGCGCGAACTTCGGAAAGCGATATCCGACAATCCAAGCGGTGAAACAGTCTGAAATTTTACGACATTGTAGCGGCTAGGAGTCTAGCAGCGGCGATGGAGGGGACGACAAAGAGATGCACGTCGGAAGGGGATGGGGCGGAAGCGTGGGAAGGATCAGGACTAAAAGTTGGCGTGAGACATTATTGCTCTATACCATGTTAGAAACAGAAATGTTGAGTTTATTGATCAAGCAAAGGCATTACATAGAAAGAGAGAGATGAGCTAGGAAGAGAAGGTTGGAAGGGAAGGGGGGTTAGGACCAATCTTAAAGGAGGGAGGATCCTTCCAAATGTGGTTGACCACTAGTGGGAGGTGGTCCAAGTATGGTGGACCCAAGTGGCTTAGGCATCCCACTTGTGGTGCCCCCACAATTGTGGTCCTTGTGTTTGGGGGCTCCAACCACAATTGGGTTGGATTGACACCCCAACACAGGTGTACACCCAACTAGAGATGTAAACGCAGTATACACAACTAGCATAGCATGGTATATTGTAACATACGCTAGATAGAGCACGCCAGTACATCCCGAACCTGGTCGGTGACATAATCATAATAACTGGATAAACCAAAGGATAGAGGAAAATGAGGAATAGAAAACCAAATGAGATGAGAGAAAAACAAGCATGAGATAGAAAGGAAATATGGAAAAGGGAATTGGTGTAACGGGGTCGTACTCTTACAGTGTCGGGCCGGTAGGGATGCGGATAAAGATTGTAGAGAAATGCCGCATGGAAGAGGGCATATCCCCAGAGTGACCGTGGTGCGTTGGCATGACTGAGGAGGCAGCGAGCGATCTGAACCAAGGTGTGGTTGCGGCTCTCTGCAATGCCGTTCTGCTGTGGGCTTTGGTGAGCGTGAAGGTTTGCCGAATCCATTGGGCCGCACACAAGTTATCGAGTTTGCCATTGCAAAACTCCCCCATCAGAATGGAGGCACTTCAAAGGAGCCGAACGTGACTTGAGCCTGGCGCACCCATGCCATGATGACGTCAGGTGCCTCCGCCTTGGTATGCAGGAGGTGCACAGAAACACACCGCAAGTGGTCATCAACTAGTGTAAGAAAGTGCCGATGACCGCCTCGGGATGTGACTGGAGCTGGGCCCCAGACATCCATGTGCACTAGGTCCAGCAGAGCAGCTGCGACGGATGGGAGGAAGGGTGCGGCTGCTGCCTGACCTTGCTCTTAGAGCAGTCCAGGCAGGTGGGTGCAGGTGAGTCTGTTGGTGGAGGAAGCGCCAACGGGAGGCCAAGAAGAAGTTTCTTGGAAAGCGATGTTGGCAAGGGTACGGAGGTTGGGGTGACCCAAGCGATGGTGGTAGAGGATGGTTGGGTTGGCGAAGCTGCGACACGAACACGGAGTGGTGTTGGCAGCTTGCGCTTGGGAGAGGGCGGCGAGAGGTGCAGGTGAACGCAGCGTGTAGAGCTTGCTACTGTTGAGTGTGAAGCGTGCTAGGAGCTTGTTGGATTTAAGGTCGAGGAGGTCACAGTAATCCGAGTGTGCTGGGAAGATCGTGGAGATGCCTGTCCCTTGAGCTCGTGTTGGGCCACAAGATTGTGGCGTAGTGTGGGAACACACATGCCGGTGACACTGGCCGAAGGGAACGCTGGGCACGGAACTGTGGAGGAGCCCTTGGCGTGTGTTGCGAAACTGGAGTCTGCTCCTAGTAGACAGATTGGTGTGTTGTATGAGGTGCTTTTGAGCTGGGACACTGCGAAATTGTCTCATTGATCATGGCAGTGCCAGGGAACACATCAGTAGGGGGAGCTACAGGAGCCTGTACGGATTCCTGCGCTTCGACTTGATTGACCTTGCGAGGAGCACGATTGACCATCCAGCTCGGCGGCTTTGAGGCGGTCCCATTGACGGCATAACACTCGTCCTCCTTCTTCTTGAAGCAGGAGGCGAGGGCGTGGTTGGTGCCGCCACAACCTGGCTGGCACGAGAGCCGTGCTTGATGACGTAGGGACACGGGGGGAAGCTGTTGCGCTGGAATAGTGCCAAAGCCGCATAGGCCTGAGGCACGGGAGCGCGGATTGCATTGGCCTTGGCTTGAGCGATGTTGTCCTTTTCGGCAGAAAGGAGCGCGAGATGAACCTTGGCAAATGTGAGGTCCGTAGGAGCAAGGCCCAAGAGCATCTTGCATGTGACTTCGTATGCTGGAGTGAGGCCGACTAGGAGAGTGGTTGTAGGGCTTGCTCGGGGAAGACTATCCCCAACTGCTTGAGTTCACCAAGAAAAGACTGCACCTTGGTGACATAGTCCGCCATGCCTGGCGAGTCTCGAGCCGCACTTGGAACATGCTGGGGATGAGAACTCCCACTGCAGTTTTGTTTAGGAAGCGGTCTTCGAGGTAGAGCCAAATGGCGTTGGCAGACAGGTAGTTGTGGTAGGTTTCGAGGAGTTCCGGAGGAGTTTGTGCCCATGAAGTCACTAATGACTGCGCCATCGGCCTTCTCCCAATTCTGTACTTGAGCAGTGCAGCAGTATAAACTGCTTCAGCGGTGGCATTAGCTGGATCGACGGACCTCGGGTTTAGGAGGCTCTTTGCCGTCACCGACATTGAGAAGGACGTCGGTGAGCTCGAGCCCCTTCACCTCGCGACTCAGGAGGTGCTTGTCGACACCATAGCGCCAAGCCTTGTAGTTGGAGCATGTGCCGTCCGGCTCGAGACGAAGGAGCAGGAGCGGGTTGGCGAGTGAATTGGTTGAGTAAGCCATTACTGTTTGATTTTCGCGAAGCGACGCTCTTAAGTCGGCGAAAATTCGTTAAAAACGCCGACTTGAAAACTGAATCTGAGCCTATCTCTAATCCCAGACCACACACCCCCAACACACCCCAGGCCCTGTCTCGCAGCTACACAGCTCCGCAACCAGCTCCGCAACCAGCTCCAAAACCAGCTCCGCTCTGCTTCCACCTGTGTACCTGCTCTTGCTGGACGGAGATGTTCGTGGAGGCGATTCCGCGAGGGGAGTTCGCCTATTCTGGCGGGGTCCGAGGGAAACTCGAAAACGAGTTTTAAGAGATGGTCGAAATTGAGATTCGACCAAGGAGAACCGAGGAGGAAGTCGATGATGGGAAGCGTAAATGCTTTCGAATTGAGAAATTCAACGAGGTCGAGCGCGAAGGCGGTCGACGCTGAGAGGCACGACTGCAGAGTGGAGCACGTCGAAAATTCTGACGACTCGAGACGAAAGTCGCGACGATAAAGTGCGCGTAGCGCGGGCACGTTAAGACTAGGACCTTGATCCGCGTGTGCGGATAGTTCGCTCTGATACTATGTAAGAAATAGAGCTGAAATGATTGATTAGGTAAGGAGCCCAAGGCTCTTTAAGTACATGGCAAGGTGAGAGAGAATGGATGAAGGGGAATCGGGGAATCCCCATTGTGATCTCCGGAATCTCCAATTGGGTAATTGGAGATTGGGGAGATCACAATTGGGTGAGGTTGGGATTTGTGAGAACACCCCAACCCACTAGAACATTCCTAACCTAAACTAGGATATAAAAGTACAAAGACAAAAGTGGGATTTGCAATCAATTTCTAACACACCCCCATAGACTGCAAACCCGGTCAAAGAGCACATAGCCCCATGGAACAGAGAAGGCGATGGTGGTCAGCCTTGCCGAGAGCCTTGGTAAAGAGATCGGCGAGGTTGCAATCTGAGGCGATGTACCGTACCGTCAGCTGGTCACTCTGAACAAGATCTCGGATGAAGAAATGACGAAGTTCGATGTGCTTGGTGCAAGAGTGGAACACAGGATCCTTGGTGAGTTGAATGGCGTTCTGGTTGTCAAAACACATGGTGGACGACTGTTGGGGGTAGCCTAACTCAGCGAGGAGAAAAGAGAGCCAGCATGCCTCTTGAGCAGCCATTGTGCCTGCATAGAGCTCGGCCTTGCAGGACGACAGGGAGACTGCAGAGGACCGCGTGGAGCGCCGGCTAATGACTCCGCTACGAAGGGTGAAGCAATACCCTTGGGAGGAGCGTCTGTCAGTTTGGTCATCGGCCCATGAGAAGTCTGTGTATCCCTTGAGCTTGACTGGAGAGGTACCACCAAGAGTGAGGATGTGAGACTTGGTGGCTTGTAGATAGCGGAGGACCCTCTTGGCTGCACACCAATGCGAGGCAGGTAGCGTCCGGGGGAGACAAACCAAGTAAGGACACTAACCAGGTAAGCCAAGTCTGGTCGAGTGCACATCATGGCATACATGAGTGAACCGACTAGCTCAAGGTACGGGTCCTTGCAGGTGTCAGGAGAAGGAACCGGAGGGGCCAGGAGCTGATGCTGTAGTGGGAGTGGAGTGGAGATAGAGCTACTGGAGTCCATGTCGAACCGCTTGAGAAGGTTGTCGATGTAGGACTCCTGGGAGAGGGTGATCGTGCAAGCCTGGTGGTCACGAGTAATCTCCATCCCCATGTAGTTCTTGAGGTCACCAAGATCCTTCATGAGAAGGGTGGAGCTGAGAGCAGACTGGACAGCTGCCATGTCGGCTGATCGCTGGCGGCTAGAATGAAGTCGTCGACGTAGACGAGGATGTAGGGGCTCGGAGGAGTGACGAATGAAGAGACTAGAATCTGAGGCGGAGGGATGGAAGTCAAGTGCGAGGAGGACTTCCTTCACCTTGTTGTGCCACTCACGAGGAGCCTGCTTGAGGCCATACACTGGGCGCTTCAGCTTCCACACTGTGTTGGCAGGATAAGTGCCATGAAACCCCGATGGGCGTTCCATGTGAACATCCTCTTGAGCTGGCCTTGGAGAAAGGCGGAGGAGGCGTCCATGGACTTGATGTCGAAGTTGCCGCGAGCGCTATATCAAGAAGAGCGCGCACAGTCGGGAGCTTGGCCGTGGGCGAGAATGTTTTGAAGAAGTCGAGA